TAGAATGGGGAAACATTTGTGATAGATAAAATGAAGATATGTATATGTATGTATGTATATATGCATATATTGGCCATCTTCTGCCTATAGGAGTGTACCACTATGCCAGGCATAGACATATTTCTAAGAGTATATTCAAGAGAATTTGAGGTCTAACTGATGCTTCATGTCATAGGAAACAAAATAGCAAAAGTACTGATATAGTTCCTCTGATAATTTAAAATATAACCTTAATACCCTAGAGTATGACTCTTCCTCTGTGCTACTACAAATACCTGACAAATAATAGCTTAAGTAAAGAAGAGTTTGTTTATATGTAACAAAGGTAGAATCATGGAAATTTGTGAGGTAATATTCAGTGAAACAACTGAGTGCAAGATTTAATGTAGGCTGTATAAATTTGTGAAAGTTTACCTATGAGTAAGATTGTTCTGCTCCATAGTGACAGTCGTTATTTTGACATAAAACAGATAAATTCTTAGTTACTACAATTGAAAAGTTTTATAAAGTGTGAAAAAAATTGTATTGGGATTTTTTTGTTGTTGTTGGATATTATGTCCTTCACCGAGAGACTTTCAGAAACCCCTAACAGGATTGGAGGTGTGGCTTAGTGGAGAAGCACTTCCCTAACAAACTCAAGGCCCTGGATTTGAACCCAGCACTGCAGAATGACAACTCCTGAAGATGAAAACAGCCTAACAATGCACCTGTTGCGTTTCTATCTTGACAGTGTTTATTTCAGTCGCTGGCAAATATTTCTCACAGTGGAAAACCTGGGAAGCCAAGCATTGCGGCCGTCTCTGTCAGCACCCAGCATGGGTCCGTCCTTCAGATTAATGATACCTTGGAGGAGAAAGCTGCTTGTAGGTCTGTGCCTGCTTTGATGTGATCCTAACTGAAGTCTGTATTTTATTTAATTTTTTAATTAAAAATTTTTATATATTTATTTTTAATTATTTAATAACCACATGAAGAGAGGAAGTATTTCATTATAGCATTAACATATTGAATAACAATTTCCAGAGCAAAGATGCGTCTCTTTCAGTATTGGCTGTAAATTTTTAGGTTCACAGTTGAATTAATACAGTTATACA